CTGACGGTTGGTTCTACCAAAATGGCTTTAATAAGGCTGTGGGCCAAGAAACAACTCCTTCCTGGGCAAGTGGGACACATGCACCAACGAATTTCTAGCAACTGTGGCTCCCTATTTTGACGCATGGGTTGTCAAACTAGGCTCACTTTCTCACCGATCCAGTGGATGGGCCCCAAAGAAAAACAAACAGCCTTCGGGCGCAAAGGGGCAGCTTCTTCTTGGACATGGCCGCGGCGAGATCTTGGAGGCTCACGACCTCGGCCGAAATTTTCCCCGTGGAAAGGCCAGAGGCGCCCTCGTTGTGACCCAGGCTCGCGCCAACTCGTTCGACGGATGGGCCTTCAAACCACCTCTAGGTCCTCCAGTAGAGAGGCTAGAATAAGGGCGCCAACTTTTTTGCGGTAGTCGATTGTAGTAGTAGACCCCCCCTTTCACGGAACGAAGCGGCGTGCGGGTCTTCCATTGAAAGCCGAAACGGTTCAGGAGCCTCTGGGCGGTGGCCTAAACCAACCTGCCGAGGGGGGGGTCAAAGGGCAAACGAAAGGGACACAGGACCCCTGTTAAAAGACCAGAAGCCACCGTTTGAGGCATGTTTTGGGGAGTTTTAGGGGCTCCATGCCAGAATTGAACGCCTGTTTGGGTTCAACTCAGGGCGCACCCCTCCAATGTGATTCGGAGCCCTGCTTTGGAGGTTAGGGGGTGGTTTCTCATTTACCCTCCACAAGAAACGCAAGAAAGAGGATGCTGGCCGTGCGATGCTCATCCAACCAATGCCCTTTCTACACACAAGCATGCAGGTTGAAGGAACATGTTGCTTCGTTCCAGAGGAAACATCTTCCAGCAACAAAACGCTAGCAACCGGCTGGAAGCATGCTTGGCCTCAAACCACGAAAGGTCGATCTCCAAACATGGCGGCCTAGCAACGTGCTTTTCCGTGGCAGCATGCCTTCTCACGGTCCCACGTCTCTGCCCAAAAGCCCTGAGGGAAAACTCTGGGGGCAAGCCTGCGCATTTGATTTGATTTGTAAGTCGACCAGGTAGCCTTCAAAGGGCGGGGCTCTTCTGTTTAAACCATGATCTAATGCGGCAACTTTGCTCAGCCAGCTTCTTCTCCAACCGTACTTGCTGACCAAGAACACGCTCTAAAGGATCTCAAACGTTTTGATGTCGGGCTATTCCAAGCCTAATGTGAGGCAGTGTGGGAACTTCTTTTGGAGCCAAGCCACATCAAGGCTATCAGCGTCGATCTCTTGGAAAATCCGTCGCAAAGCCTGCACATGCGCGGCCTGCTTATGCTGTTGCTTAATGACCGCGATGTCTTTGTCTGCGTTGGCGCTCTCGATCGCGGTGTTGCCTTGGCTGGCCGTAGCCCCTACCAAAAAATGTTATCTGTTTGCTGGTTGTCAACAATAGTTAACGTCCGAATGTTAAAAAAACGAAAAGCCGTACCAAAGAGCAACCAAGCCGCAGAAGACGCCAGTTACCTTGACCGCGCAAGAATCTGTGCGAACACAAAACAACAAGAGAATGCCAGCAGGTGAGTTCAACATCCGATGCCCCGCGCTGAGATGTTGCCCCCAGATTCATAAACCCATGTTTATTAACATCGGGGGGGTCCCTGGTTTTTGTGGGGGTGATTCGCTCTTGCAGGGGAACAACCCCACATTAATAAACAGGGGGCGTATTCATCTGGGGCCAATGAAACATGCTCAGCACCAAACAGAATAAGCAAATATAACGGCCGAGGTTTTTAGCGCCGCGCCTGCGCGCCAGGGCAGTCACCATTGATATGACTAGCACACACACACACACCAGCAGAAACGAGAGACGAACGCAACAACATCACAAGGGGAACGTGTCACATATCGTAGAGCGCTACTCACTTCAAGGAACGGACTGGCCAAAAGTCTAAACACTGGTTTACCACAAAACCGGTCCCGAAGCAGCTTAAGGTCCAACCCCGAAAGTGAGCTGCACATACCGGGCGCTAAGTTGCTACGTTCAGGACTGCGAACACCGTGATCACAATGTACAGGGTCAGGAAAATCACCGCCACGGGGGAGACCGTGCGCAAGGGCCGCATGGCTTCTTCCCAGCTCAATCCCCCGGCGATGGACATGAAGAGGGTCAGCATGCTTTCTGGCCTTAGGCAACACAGGCCTCCCCAAATGAATCCCCTGAAGGCACCACCCCTACTAAGGAAGGCTTATATCAACTTGGCCCAAGTGGTGCTTTGAAGCCGCAAAAGGGAACGTATGGCAGTTGATCAACATTCATGGTTCCGGAACGCCTTCCTCGCGAGAAAAAACATCATGTCGCGGCTCCATCTCCAAACCCTTCTGTTTGCAGCATGTGCTCTGGGGCCATGTTGCCTTCCGCAGTTTCGAGCGCAAACGCAGAGGCGCCACGCCGAGCAGCCCACTTTGCATGGGCAAGCTTGCAGAAGCGTTAGATGCAGGCAGCAGCTACCATTCCTCACTACCACCCAATACCTTGCCATTGCCAGGAGTGCTCCGTCCTGGGCTTATGCGCGGAACCTTGCAACAAGCTGCAAGGACTGTTGCCGGACGTTCGCGGGTCTTTCGCAAAACTTGCTCCAGAATAGCGCAGCCAACGTTTCGCTTTGCACGATTCCGAGCACAGGCAGGCAATCAAGGATGCAAGTACAGCAAAGGTGCTGCACCATCTCCCTGCCCACAAAACCCAAGGTGGATCTTTCACAAGAAAAACATCCGCGGTTCACATAAAACACCACAACCAATGGTCTCCGAAGACGCAACTCCTTGCCAGGAGCTGTTGATCCCCCCCTTGCCCCACAGAGACCATTGCAGCACTGCCTACTAAGTGGCAAGGCTCAGTGTTGTTGAAGCAGTGTGTTCAAATGATTAGCACCAAAGTGAATGCAGTATTGTTCAAGCAGAGTTGCCGGGTGATTCAAATCAGCTTTCGATAGACAGTTGTGTTGCTGGTGTTGACGCAGACTAGCCAGATCATGTAGAGCCAAGTTGCCATGCAAGTTTCATTGGAAATAATTGAGAAAACACAGCCTCCCAGGATGTGCTCCGCAAAAGACGGCACACCTCTTGTTCCCGCCCCAAGCTTGGTTGCTGCTGACCCCCTTGCAAAAAACTTAACTTTCGGTGGGTCCAATAAAAAAAAACCAGCGATAAAGAAAGACTCGAGTTGATGGGCCAAAAAAGTCGCTTTGCCACTAAACCGGAAGCCAAACCCCAAAAGTGAGTCTCAAGTCCATGAATTCAGGACTTTTTTTTCCCCGAACCCGAGTTCTGACCCCAGTGGCACAGAGGACCAAAAGGCGTAGTCCCCCGAACAGCTGGGAAGGGAGTTGATATCCCCGGTGGCCAGAATCGCCAGGTCCCGGCAGTGGTCCGTGACCAGCTGCGTAAGGATCACCTGGGTCACAATCACAAGCTGGCTGTAATTGAAATCCCCGTAGGGCTCCCCCATTCAACGGAAAATCGGAACAACGAAAAGCCTATAAATAATTCCCATCTGCAAACGTCACCCAAGGGTTTCAGCCTTAAGGACATCATTTGAGTCATACTCACAATCCGGTATCAAAATGCTCGGGACCCAGAACCATGCTTCAAGAAAGGCGGATTTTCCGCAGCTATTTATGGCCAGATTGTCCCTAATCTTCATCTACCCGAATCGGTTTTGAGCACGTGGCTCACCTGGGCGTGAAGACGCACGACCCTGGCGTGGGAAACCTCGCCCCAAAGCGCCTTGCACTTGGGACCTTGAAGCCTTCACCTTCCGATTCGGCGCATGTGGATAGGTGTCCTATAGTGTCAGGGTCCCCTGGTGAGTTAAACCACCAGGTAAACCAGGAATCGCCACCTATTTTTCGACCAAAACAACCAAATTGGTGGCCGTTTTGGATAAAAATGGGTTTCCCTGTTAGATGAGTAAGCCACCAGGTAAACCAGGAATCGCTGCCTATTTTTCAACCAAATCAGCCAAAAAGGGACGCCTATGATGTGGACCCGCAGCTGGGCGCGACAGTCGCAGCTCAAATCAAAAACTGGCGAACAGTTCCCGGGGCGCCGGGAATTTTGTAAGCTTCGGGCTGGGGGGGTGCCAGCTGGCCGAAAACAAACGGGTCAGGACCGAGGAAGCATCCGGTGCCTTTGGACAAAGCTGGCGCTGTCTTGAATCCCTCAATCGAACTCACCCCGGTTGCTTTGGGACCAAATGTATAAGGTGAATCTTCTGAGGCCGCAGCTGCGAACCCAAAATTCAGAAGTCCAAAGGTCGCGGATCGCGTTTGCGCGGCTCACGCCCAACGGAACGGCTGGCCCCGACTTGTTCCGCCAAACGAGGCCAGAAATGCATCTTTTATGTAATGTGCTGTCCGTGAAACCAAGCTCGGTTGCGAAATCTGCGAAGCCCTGCTAAACGTTGTGTAACTTCTAGTGGTTTAATACGGAAAACCAATTCATTAGTTGGATCAAAAAGTGGTTCAGTCCTAACATCCCTTGGCAAAATGCAAGCAAAAGCCTCGGAGGGGTTTGACTTCCGTGCGAACTTCGGGGTCTTCCATCCTAAAAAATGGTTCCCCAGCGGGATGTTCTTCTCGACAGCTCCAAGGCCTTAAAGTCACCCGCCAGGGTCTTGAGGCGTCAGGCCGGAGTCCAGAAAAGGGAATAAGCCACCCCCCCCCCAATCAAAGTCAACCAGCCTAAGGGCCTCGATTAGTTTGGGCGCTCAAAGCTGGTTTGTTTTCAAGGGCCCCTGAATAATTGGTCGCTTTGGGTTCTCCATTGGAGGGTCCAGGGCTCGGTGTGCATTGGAGTCATGATCCTTGCGGCACTTGATCTAGGGATTTCCTGCCCGCTTTCGGATCCGCTAAAAGTGACTAACTTTTTAGTGGGTTAAACGGAAACCACTAAACACCAAAAGGCTAAGAAGCTAAGGAACCGGATGGCTGGGAGCCACCAAGAGAATCTGAGGGACCTCTGGGTAAGGGACTCTTCGTTTTATCGCCTTCCCCCACGCATCTTCCAGGGCACGCCGAACGTGTAGAACAGCAGCACCAGCAAAACCAGAGTCCACAGGAGCGAGCCCACCGTGCTCACGATACACAAGGCCTCGAATCTGTGGGATCAGTTCCAACCCCCCCCCATACTGTGGATGGGTGAAATCCATTTCGCACCACTTGGAAACCATGCAAAACCGTCTCCGATTCCAGGGTTTCTGAGTTCGGTGGTGCCTGCGGAAGGATTTCGTCCATCCAGTAAGGCTTAAGGCCTTTTGGTACTAGCTTTTTTGAGGCCAAAAGCTCAAAAGGGAAGAGTTGGAATGTTGGAATGCTGAAATCAGCCAACCTCCAACCCCCCAGGACTTCTTCAAACAAAACCTTAGGCCAGGGGTCTGTTTTTGTTTGTTTGGCTATTTCAAGGTAGACTTAAACCCAAAGGTGCTTTTTGGGGAAATCTACCACCCCCGGGTTTGAGTCCACTTTGGGATTGTCAAACAACGGAACCCTGCTTTAGGCCTTTTTCAATGGAGCAAACGAGGATAGGGCGTGCCTAAAAGGCATGTCAACATCCCCACCGCTGACTGGAAGTTAAGCCCGGGGTTGCACATGATGCTCTTTGTAGCCACGGGAATTGAAACACATGGACAGGGGTCAAAATTAGACCAGGAAAAACCCGCAGGTTTTAGTCCGTCCGTTTCCACTTCCCAGGGCAAGCCATGCCATTTTTGGGCATGGAATGACCCACGGCCACATGCCCATGTTCCAGAAGCTTGAGACGAGATCCACCCGACACGGGTACATTGGAGAATCCTCTTGTGGGTTCAGAGTGGCCGTCCCTCGAATGAGCTCTCCCTGCTTTTTCATATGGGGGGGTGGTCTCCAAAATGAAGGCCAAAACCAGGGACACCCCCCTAGCCTAGCAATACACAGGGGGCTCTTAATCTGAGGTCAAGATTGGTGCTACAGAAATGGAATGCTGAGCGAACTCAAGGGAACCCAGGACTGATCGACCCCCGGTTGATGTTGATCTGAGGCATTCAAGACAGCATCGGCATCATGTGGCAGTGGGTCAAAAAATATGTACCCAATATGGAGTCTTGGTAAACAAATAAAAACTAAAATATAAAAAAGAACAAAACACAAATAACAAAAACAGACCAAAACCAGCGGTCTAATTCCTGGTGGTTCAATTTTGACCCCCCGCCACGTCTGCGGGGTTTCCCCCCCCTAGGAATGGTTGACTTTTGCTGTTTCTTCCAGTCCGATCCGGGTTCCCCGTTCCGGAGCAGCTGCAACTTGGGGTCGAAAGGAGCTGTTTTGGGGCCGAAGGTACTTCCATGTGCTTCAGCCCCCTGGAAACAATCATGGACATATCTTTGCAGCGGTGATACAGACCCCTTAAAATCCGAAAAGAGATCTCTTCTCAAGAAATAAATATATATTAAACAACAAAAAACGGCAAGCCCGTTGGCAGAAAAGAGAACTATGGTAAGTAAGAAATTCCGGCTAAATCCAGAAAGGGACTTGCGTCACACAAAATAATAAGAATCACTTTCAGCCAAATGGAATCCCAGCACGCCCAAGTCCGAGTTTTCTCTACTTAGGCGACCAAATGATACCGGTAGGTTCTGACTTTACTTCCGCGACCAAAAGACTTCGTCCTTGGAAGTATTGGGCGAAGACCATATTCCATCAGGACTTTTGGTCCTGAACTTTTCGGATCCCTGCCAGGGTCCAGGCCAAGGTCCGCAGCGCGCTCACGTAGCGAAAAATCCTGCGGCCGCGCTAGCTGCTGTTTGCGTGTGGATGTGTCTTAGGCTACTTAAACCAGAAAACCAACTAGCTCAGGCGAGCAAACATCTAGGTGTCTGCACCTTAGACTACTAAAACCTACAAAAAGATGGGTCAGAACAGTATTTGTTCAAGACACCTGCTATGACAAGGTGGCAGAACAAGCTCTGCTCCGATAGAAAGCATTCGACTGAGACCCCAACAATTGACCGTTTCAGCCCGGTTGGCGAAGTGCTGTCGATCCTTGATTTCGCAGGTGAATGTGTGTTCATGTATGGGTATCCGCCTGTCTCTCCTTGGTTGTTAAGGGACACTGGCCGACTATCGAAGAAGGGCTCCCATTTGGAGCCAACGCTGGGTATGTGTCGGGCTTTTGTGAGTGACTGGACGGCTTGTGGCGGGCCTCGCATGTGCCTAAAACAAACAGGAGACAAGGGACATTCAACTGAAGGTGAACTTGGATGTATATTCGTTGTTTCCCCTTGTTGGTTTTCAAGGGAGTCTATCACTACTGAAAATGTGTATGGTTTCCATGGGCGAAAAAAACAAACGGAAGATTTTGGCTTCCCCCGAATTCCTAGAGCCACGAATCACCGCAAAAGCACTCTTGGACATGATCCCCCCAAGAACAACAAAACAAACTGGTCGGAATCAGCTAGCCCTCGCCGAAATTCAACACAAACCGTGGATGTGCCCTCTTGTTGGTAAGCAACAAGTAAAAAGAAAGAACAACACAGCAACACACACAAGACACACACACACACACACACACACACACACACACACACACACACACACACACACACACACACACACACACACACACACACACACACACACACACACACACACACACACACACACACACACACACACACACGCTACAGACAGGAACAACGACACAAACAAAACGATCCAAAGACCCAATCAACATAAAAACAAAGGGGCAAATTCAACTCAAGTAAGTTTAAACCAAGCTGAAATTTACTTACTAACAAGGGCCAAATAAGGCAGACCCCGACAAGGATACCAAAAGTCAAGAACCCCCGCCAAAAGGAAATATATGTTTCGTTTACTTTTGGTTTCCCCCACCCAACAAATGGCACCCCGCCCTCAAAAAAAGAAGAAGAAAAAAGCGGAAACCAACATACCCAACGATGACCACGTTTGCGCGAACACGCTCCCAGTCCTCACCACCCTCACCCCTCGCAGTGCGCGCGCCAGGCGGATCGACCGCACCAGGCGCAGGTGGCTGGAGTTGGCTGCGCCGCTTGAGACCTGGAAGGTTTTGGGTATCCCCCCTCTAGGGTGGAGAAAGTTGGGGGGCACTTCCATTTATCTTCCCAAAAGGGAAAATGGAACCAGAAATGGACTTGCAGGGGCCACCGCCCCCCCCCAATTCCATTTTTAAGGGGGTGGGGATTTTCGGGTTCTTCCATCTTGGCCCCCTTTTAATCACCTTGGCCGACGTTGGAGGGCGCTTTTTTTTTTTGTGTAGCAGTTAAGTGGGGAATTTCAACTACGAAACCACAATAAACAAAAATGTAAAATGTTTCCCAACAACAACCATGAATCCAGACATAACACAGACACAACCAACCTTGATAAAATGTGCAAGTCTCAGTTGCCCCTGACAAACCTGGAAGAAAAAGGGCCAACCTTGCGGGGCCCTTGACTAAACATGGAACCAAAAAAAAAAGGCACCAGGTCAAAAGGTCGATGCGCTTTCGGCAAGTAGGTTTTGGTCACACCCCCTTGACAAACTGGATGGGGACCCCCCAAGCACCACCTGCCAAACTTTACCAAAAAAATGCCAGTGACTAAAGTTCAGGATCTGCGGATGTGAGTTGAATGCAACATGGGTAGGTCTTACTTAGGGAACCCCCCCTAAATAGGAAGGTGTGCTGTTGGCTTGTTTTCCCCCAAAATTCCCGGTTACCCTCAAAAAAGACACACCCAACTAGGAAGTGTCCCCAAAACGGACTCTGATTTACATATATATATATATATATACACCCCCCCTCCCAAACAAAAAACAAAGACAAAACACAGCACAAGGAAAGATTCCTTAGCTTGGCTGACGTTGAAAGGGGAGCAAACATTTAAATTTTAGCAGTTAAGTTGGGATTTCCCACTAAACCTCAATAAGCAAAAATGAAAATGTTTCCCAACAACAACCATGTTAGGGGCATGGAGATTGTTACCCTCCCCCCCCAATTCCAGAGCCTCTTTGTCCTTATTGTCAAGTAGAGCTGGGTACTAAAAAGGAGGCCTGGACGAAATGAACAACGTTCCCTTCCTCTTTTGGCATGCTTTAGGAGTTTTCAGGTGATCGGCGAAGCCGGTGGTCGGAAGCTTCTAGCACTATGGTTATCTTCCTTTTATCTTTCACTTTGTTTCCTCTTGTCTTCCTCTTTCTCTTTCTCCTTCTTTTGTCTTTCTTTGCTCTGTATTTATCTTTATTTTCTCTTTCTCTTTTCTTTATCTGTCTCCTTCTTTTTCTCTTCATGTGCCTCTTTTCTTTCTCTTTTGGATTCTTTTCTCTTGTGTTTCCCCTTCTCGTTCTATTTCTCTCTCTCTTTTCTTTCCCTCTCTCTTTTCTATTTATCTTTATCGTTATCTTCCTTTTCGATTTCTCTTTCTCTTTCTTTTTCTCGTTTCTTTCTCTTGCTATGTCTCTTTCTATTTATCTTTCTTTCTTTCTCTTTCTCTTTTCTTTTTTTGCGCTTTCGATTTCTCTTTCTCCTTCTTTCCTCTGATGTTCCTCCTTCCTTTCTCTTTCGCCTTCTCTTCTCTTTTCTCTTTCTGTTTCTTTTCTCTTTTCTCTCCTTTCTTCCTTTCTCTATCTCTCTCTCTCTCTCTTTTACTTTCTTTCTCTACCTCTGCCACGGAGTTTGTGCCTGAACTTGCGAAAGTGCTCGAAATTCGAAATCTGTACCCGACCTTGCGACAGTCCTGCGCCTGCAACTCAGTGCGTGGGAAACCTTCGCGTGGCCAATTCCCCCCGGCCGGGCGCTGGGACTACGCCGGACCCGCGCCGAGAGCGTGCCAGACAGGCGTCGAGACAAAACTCGCAGAGGGTCAAAGTCTTTTTCGCAATTTCTATTCCCCCGCGCCCGCCACACGCCCACGCATGCTTTCTCGCATGCGTTTATTCTTTGCTCATCTTTTCTGCGCGCAACTCTCTGCATACGCTTTCTTTTGAGTGCGCCATCTGATCTTCTAAAGCTGTCTGCAAGAGCTGTCCTTGCGCACCCGCTATCTTATCTTCTGATTCTAGCTATCTACGCAGGCTACCTGTTCAATGAGTTTCCGTACTGCGGAAGTTCCTTCTAAACTTCCTTTGCTTAGAGTGATAGGCCAGCACCCAGCAACACGGGGAACCATTCAACAAACAAGGGAACATTTCTTAGGGGCATGCTATCGCCGCCAACACAAAATGCTGAAACATGCTCAAAGGGAATTTCAAGGCGGAATCGGAATCCACAGCCCCTTAGTGCCTTCGTGGAACAACAATGAAACAAAGGAAACCACTACCAAACGGCATACGCCTTAAGGAACGATTTGGAACACATGCTTGTAAATTCTCGCTTGCCAGGCAGGCCCTCCAGGGGAAGGGGGGCGGGGAGGGAAGGTGTGCTGGGCATGCCTCGATAAGAAACCCTAGAAGCACCCTGAAATCCTCATATGGGGATTCATCTGGGATCTCAGGAGTAAAGCACCGCTGGTTGACAAGCAGGGTGTCAACCCGCTTGGGTCTCTTATGTCCTTCTCTTCAACTGATTCGCATTCATGTTCTCTATCATTTGTGGAGGAGTCTCCTTTTGACGACCTCTTGGGTTCCGTGCTGAGGGCGTACGTTCTGACATTCGCGTCTTGCAAGCAAGGTACAGTCTGCGCCCAAAGGTCAATGCTGGTCTCCACTACGGACACGGTGATGATGATCACGTCCATGATGTTCCACAAGGCCTCCTGCGAAGAATGGCCAATCTTGCCAAGTGGCCTCCCAACTCAATTCCTGACTGGATTGGCAATTCGTCCGAACTGTTTGTTTGCCACCAAGGTTTCCAAGCAACTCAGGGATTGAGCTTAAAAGTTACTTGCCCCAGTCTGCCGCTGGGAGAGTTCAAAGGTAAACCCACAAGTAAGGGTGTCACGGACAACCGGGAGCAAACGCCGATGAAAGCACTCCACTCAAAGTCCAAGACACTTCCCACTCGGCAACCTTTGACTTTCCAGGCCGTGCTCATGATAAATGTTTTTCATATCCGTTCAGTGACCCTGGAAAAAAAGGGAACCTTTTTTTGGGGAAGGCCATTTTAGTGGGGCAGCCACCCCCCCCAAAAAAAAAAGGAAAAAGGGAGCCACTGAACAACCGAGAAAACGCGCTTTGCGACCACCGAACCATCCGAGCTGTGGGAAAACAAGTTCGCATCGAAAGGGTCAAACCTTGGCACCAAAGCTCGGATTCCCACCTTTCAGGCTGAACCCACCCCTCGCTCACAATACGTGAATCTCAACAAGATCCAAAGTTAGGGAATCCCCAAGGGGGGGCGCAAGGGGAGGGAGGGGGATCCCCTAAGGCTCCCTAAGGAACCCTAGCACAGGGCTCTCAACCCCGGATAGCTACCCGCCCAACGGGGATTCCACGAAGAGATGGATTGGGTGGGTCGATCGGCTTGGCGAAGCTAGCTCTCGCGGAACAGCCCCGGGTTTGGAAAAACCCCAGGGTCCGATTCATGGGCTTCCCTAAAATATGCTTGGGAGCCCCGGGATGTGGAGCTGGGAGCCCTTGGATCTGGAGCTAGGGGTTCCCCCCGCTCGCCATGTCCCTAAGGGAACCTCCAAAAGTGGAAATGTTCATCGATTCACCAGTCGGCTCTCTGCAACTCGTGGAAGGCTTCTTCCAATGACGTTTTCAGGAGCCTGACCGCACCAGTACTCGAAGCAGCCCTGGGCCAAGATCTTGAGCATCACCTCCGCGTGATCACGGCGTGTTTTTCTTTCTTTCTTTTTTGAAATGTTTAGACCCTGGAACATAACAGTGTCCATTTCTTGTTCTCTGCGGGGCTGGGGATCTCTGCGGGTGAAGCGAATCACTTCTGATACAGGCATTGCAAAAAAAGTGCAATGCCTGTCCCAGAAGCGGAAAGCGGAAAGCGAGTCAGCTCATATCATGACAGGGTTAACCACCTCCACTTGCTTAAGTCTCCCGATCCCTGGATCACATCAGGATATGTCCAGCAGTGATAGGTTTCCTGTAAACCCAACATGTGAACGTAACAACTATGCTTAAGCTTAAGCAAATGGTTTTGCCACCTTGGCCTTTTTTTCCAAGGAGCGTGCTCCCCACAAAAAGCCTAGATCCCTTCTTAAATGTTAGGCTCCCCCCCTCCATAGGAAGGAAAAGCAGGGAGGTATTGCCTCGAGCAGGCTCAAACCACCCTCAAAGCATGTCACACTCCCAGCGAACGCGGAAGCTCTCCCAATTAGCCAATGGGACCAAGTCGTTTAAAGGGGTCCTGGCACCTTCCATGTCAGCCTGGAGGAGAGTACATCTATGCTTTTTCAAGATCTCCACGAGAAACATGAACCTGTGTGATAAATTTGACCCCACCCTTAGGACACTTCTGGGTCTTCGCGCCTCCACCACGAAAACGCAAACGATGAGGGTGTTCGCCATGCCGAACCACCCCGGCACATCACTCTGACCCAACGTAGCGGACAGATCCACCTCCACGCCGAGCCTCGGCCAAAAAAAACAAATATGGCCATGAGTCAAATCCCGTACCCCCAGTGAACATCCCAATCCCCACTATAATAGACTAAAATGGGTGGTGCACCTACCCGTAAATGGTGCCATGGGTTTTGACCCACAGCCACATAGCAGCAGAGACACCAAACAGCCAGAAGCTCAATGACAATCATTTTCCACAGCAATGTGTTTCAAGAATCAAAGGCAATGAGTATCACCATGTCCGCAGGCAGCTTGTTAAGGATCCCACGGGTTGCTGATCAGAAAGATACATGTCCTTTTTGCTCAAATCATTATTGGGCTTCCAGAAACACATGCAGCCAAACAGTGCAATGAAGTAATCCTGGCTATCCAAAACATTGCCTGCAGCGGTGCGAGGACTAATGTGTACAATCTCATGATAGACAGGCGCGCACGCTCAGAACACGCAACACTCGGAACAAACACGTGTACGCGCGCAGAACACATGTGCAAACTTTGGCACACACGCGCCCACAAACACGCACACACACACACACACACTCACACAGACACACACCTACGTTTATGCTGTGAACACACGCTGTGAACACACGCTGTGAACACACAAGTGTGCCCAATGGGCAAATTGGAGGCGCCTATATATGCGAAAATACAACTGCACCGGACCTGCCTAAATTGCGTGAATGAATTTGCAAAAACAGGCGCCGCAACCAGTTCATTCCCCACCAGTGCGATCTTCCGAACGCGTCAGGTGCCACCAAATCGGGAGCGTGGGGCGCCGTGGCATTCTGGAGGGGAGGCAAAGCACGAAAATGACATGGGTTCGGCAACAACATGGCCACCGTTAAGGGGGTTTCCCGGCAGAACGTGCGCAAAAGGCTTTTGGAGCATGTGGGTCATGCCAAAATCGGGGGGGCCCGTTCCTTTTTGTTGGAAGGGGGGGGGGATTTCCTTCAAACAGACACGAGCCAGCCATGTTGACCCAAGTCTAAGGTTTGATTCCCCATTCTCTTCACCCATCGTCCTCGTTAGAAACCACCTATTTTCCCAGGGTTTGGCCCATTTTTCGAAGAGAAGGATGCCTGAAGAGAAGGATCCCTGAAGAGAATGGGGAGGATACAGCTAGAACAAGGATTTTCTTTTGGATTCCCTCCAACACCAACCTGAAGAAGGGCACTCAAACAGACACCAGCCATGTCATGTCAGGGGGTTGGCCATGTCGACCCCCCGACCCCTTGCCGCGGGACAGTACCACGTTCATCATGATGAGGACCATGATGAAGTTCACGAAGACGGGCGACGACACGAAGACCTGGGCCGGTTCACAGAACTCACCCGAGCGAGCGGGGCCGCACCGGTCAAAAACCGTCGATAGATGGAAGCGTCAGGCATAGAGATGTGTTTCTAACATGGCTACAGACATGACGATTTACAAATTGATAGAACAACCATTTAACTACCTGTGAACCATCCACATCTGGATAAGCAAACGTTTAGCACCAGAAACCAGTGCCTTCTGATTACGGTGGGAATGTGTTCTGCAAACAGATTCTGACATCATCCAGTACTGCAATTCTAAACTCAGATTGAAGCATACTTTTGCGCCTCCTTTAGAATAGCTCACGTAGCTTTATAACAGGTTTCTTAATGAACTATTCAGATTCAAAGGCTCGATGCGATATGTGAATACGATTGCACACGACCACTACTGGGTCATGAGAGATAAACCCCCTTTCAACCAAACATGGCAAGAAGTCCAGCATGATTGAGTCAAACTGCCCATGCCGAAAAAAAAGAAACGAACAAACAAATAAAAAAACTAATTGGTAAAACACTCGAGATACGCAGGTGAACGTCTCGAGAACACCCAAATCCCAGTGGCCAGGTCTCCAACTTTACCCAGCCCGTTACAAAACGCATCCTGGACAAACACACGACGAAACAACGACCCGCTTGGGCCGAAGCGCCATTTCAAGACGCACAAACTCCAGCCCCCGAAGGCGGCCAAGGGGAGATGGACCGACCAAGGGGAAAAGGTCAAAGGTCCATGTGGGACCCCTCTGAAGGCCATCGAGCTTGCAAGAGTCCTCTGCCAGGTTGTGTGCAAAGAGCCGACATGATTTCTCTTGAACCAAAGAACGCCTTGAACTCTTCAACCAATTTCCTGGTGTTGTTTTCCTGGGGGTGGGCGGCCCAAAAAGTCAGTGCCCTTAGTGCCCTTAATATTTTAAAGCGTTACTTTGCTCTCCAGAGATTGTTAACCATGAAGCATCTTGAAGAGAGCTTACTTAATTGACAGGCCAGTTGCAAAAGCAGGGGCCGGGGGCAGGGGCTGGAGCAATTACCCTGTCCATCAAGATGGAACCCACCAAAGGATCCCTTTCAAGAAAAAGTAGTCTTCCAGGACACCTCAGTCAGGTTCCATGGCAAAGTGGACTGGAGGGTACCTGTGTTCTAGGCTGGAATTAGGACCCCAGCAAAAAAAAATGCCTGGTTAGTGGACAACAAAGGGACCCTTTGTAAAGCAAAAAACAAAAAGGGAAGCTAATTCTGGGGAAGTTCACCCTCCTCTAGCCGAGAACCCGGAGCCACACGACCCCCCCCCCCCACACCGCCCCCAGCCGTTGACCGGGGCGCGTCCAGCTGGCGACGCCAGGTGCCCCGGGTGTCGATGCGCGGCTCCGCGCTGGCGCGGAGTTGCGCCAGGCGGCTGGACTGGTTGTTGGCCTTGTCCTGGATTTTGCCCCATTTCCGTCTCCTTTCCTTTGAGGGTACCCTCCCTCCGACTAACATAGCAACTGTGGGAAATTTCCTCTTGTAGGGAAATTTCTGTCAGGACTTGCTTAAAGGCTTTGCCCCATTTCCGTCTCCTTGTCTTGGGGGGTTGTCAAAATGACGGTCCCCTTTTTTGGACCCCTCTTCAAGGCGGGCCCCACATAAACCATGCCCTTTTTGTGGACCCGCATTTTTGACAACGCCCCCTTTGAGGGTGCCGTTCCTTTCTTTGGGGGGGGCCTATTTAGGGACGAACCTCCCCCGAACATGGTCTTTCTCGAGGCTTCCCTTTGAACCAATCGAGTCATACCTAGTCAAAACTCGGTAGTAAGATGGTCGTAATCCCAGAACCATCTAAAGAATTACCCAGGCGGCCTAACCGCAGCTATTTCTGGCTACTGGGACTGGCTCTTGCTAACCTTCTACCCGAATCGGTTAGCACGTGCTCAATTGGCAAGCAAATTTCGAGGGCAATCCGACCCTCACGGAGCGGAAGTTCGCAGCCGGGCGGTCGCACCTTTTTTTTGCTGTGGTCAACATCGGTTTAGGAACAACCACTTGATTTCAACCAAGTGAAAGTCTCAAGACCCGTTGCCCAATGGCAATCAAGACACTGATGGCACACTGAAGCCTCTCAAGCCCCGTCGGCGGCCAAGGTGTCATACTCGAGAACATCGTGTCCATTCGAATGCGGGATATGTGGTGCCTTTTCAGTGCTCGGAAAAAAGCTCGGGGGAAAAAAAAAAGCAGGCCCCGTAAACCAAAACGCCATGTCACATCATATTTCCACAATTGGGCCAAGTGTTTCTTGTGTTGATTGCCACCTTGAGAACCCCGCCCCCCAGCCCCAAATACTGACAACATCCGCTTCGCCGAAAGGGTACCCTCAAGCAAACACACCATGAGATTGTCTCAAACAGGTGGGCCCTTTTGGATAGCATACCACGGCAAAAAAAGGAAGCCACCCAACGAAGAGACCCGAAGGAACTACACTGAACCAAAAAAACGCCACCTGCTAGGGTTTCCCTCTCGCTTTTTCCCCCCCAACAGCTGAAAGCCATGGAGTCGCCCAGATTTGCTCTGGGGTCGGCAGCTTTCAGGGAGGTGTTTTTTCTTTTAAACGGACCCCACAGCTTTGAGAGAAACCAAACCCCCGTCCCCATATTGGGGCGTGGACAACCCGAAAAGGGTACCCTTAAAAGGACCCCAAACTTCTCATTTGCTGAAGTCCCTAAACCAAATGAGAAAATATGTGTCCGGTCGGAAACCCTCAAGGGAACACCCCATCTCTCAACATCAACCAGCGCTTGCAGGGTCAACCTTACCTTTTTTGGAGTCTTGAGGGAAAGCCAAAGGAAACCTCCCCAATCCAATGGAGCCAAAAGGGGGCTCCCTGAAGATCCGAACTTCTTTCCGAATTTCAGTTGCCCCGTTTAGGGACCTAGAAATGACAGGTGGTCACCTTTTGGGTTGCCATGACCAGAAATGGTTTTGAAGGGGAATGCCAAGATCAGCCAGCCCTAAACCAATTCTAAAGCAACGAGTGTCCTGTCACCCCAACTCCAGTTGTCTCACACCACGCTTTTAGAACCAGGGGGCGGGCATGTGTTGGGCAACGTGACTCGGGTCCTGATGTTCCTGAAGCGCCTTGCGCACGAAGGAGTGCCTTGCGCTGTCCCGGTTCCTTGGCCCGGCAAGAGGACGGCTCGCTCGAAACCGGAGTCGGTTTCAAAACAAGGCGTCGCCACCCCCGAGCTTTCGGGGAAGAAACCTTCTCCTGGTTCCGCTTCGAATTTAGCCTCAAATGCAAAATGGCTTTGGGATCTGCAACCCCAGAGGATTAAGATGGGTCGGTGGCTCTGCAGAAGGTACTTGGAGCCTTAGGGGTGGTTGCTCTTGCCCTGTGGGTTCTCGTTTAAAAGCCGATTCTTAGGCCAGAATAGGCCATGCTCAACAGGCAGCAACTGGTCAGGAGTGGTTGTTGCAAAATGTGGGCCTTTAACACTGCTGTTTGGGTCATACTCAAGCCTGGTGTTCCACCAGAGCCATGGTAAGACTTGAATCGCCTTCTTGCCGCACCCATTCTGATTGAGACTGTCCCCATCTGCCCCCTACTAGCCTTCAACCACCCGGCCGTTGTCCAACTCTGAAAATCACTGTGGCTTCTTTGAGTCCATTGAAGCACCTAGGGGTTTCACTTGATCAAGCGAGAAATCTTCATCCTGAGGTCGCACCTCACCCAAAAAACCCAAGGTGGCGATCTCATTGCCCAAATTGACCGTGGCTTTCATTGCAACTTGTAAATGGTGGTAAGTCCAACTTTATGTTGGTGTTGAAAAAGCAAAACATGTTTCAAGTGAGAAAGCAAAATGGATATATTTTTTGGAGCCTGTTCAACCACCCGGGTTTTGATTGTGGCTCACTGGGAGGTGTTCCGCGGCCTTCCCATGCTTTCTCAAGACCCAGGGGTTGGTTCAAGCGCCCAAGCCTCGGCTGCGAAATCTGCGAAGCCCTGCTGAAAGTGACGAACTTTTGGCTGACTTCATACGGAAAACCCGCAAAATGCACCAAAGAAACCGCCAAGCGTTTGTTCTACCAATCCGGTCATAACAGCTTGCATGGGCCCAGGTGCTGGGCCTACTACGCTGATTGTGCAATGCGCACGAGCGCACAATGGGTAATAGGGGCCCAGAAAAATAGAGTTGGGGTTGCGAGTTTCAAAGCACATCTGGGTGGTTTTCTTTTAGGGGACCCCTTTTTTGGGGTTGAAGCCAAGAGGAAAACCAAAAATCATTTTAGCCACTTAGGTTCTTCAACATGGGGGATGCCTCGTAACCCATTCGGGAAAACCCCTGGTTGATTTTCATAAGAGAGTGTGCTATTGGGTCTGCCTTTCATGAGGGTGCCCCTTTTCTTATCTTTTCCTGTTGTGTCACGGAAAACAAAAGGAAAACCACATAGCAGGGGTCCGAATCCTAAAAACCTGACGAACCCTATCAAACATTTGAACAAACATCAACAGAAGTGTCCGAAAACCGCAAGGAGCTTGCGTCAAGTTTTCATCCCCGTCCCGTTATTCACTCAGTTGTTCAGTGACCCTGGGAAAAAAAGGGAACCCTTTTTGGGGCGTGGACCACTTTTAGTGGGGCAGCCACCACCCCCCCCCCAAAAAAAAAAAAGAAAGAACACAAAAGGAAAGAAGGAACAGGGTGCCCAAGGCTCTTCCGGAAGTTGAAGCTCGCCACCTCGCCGGAGAAGACGCCCTCCAGGCCTCGGGTGCGAGTTCCGGTGCGAGAGGGAAGGCGCCGGAGCGGGCGCCGGAGGCAAAAAACTCGCGCCGCGGCGTTGGCTTCATGCCGTCCCCATATTAATCAACCCCAGTCTACTAGAGGGAAAACCCGCTCCGTGGCACTGTAGCTTGCAGAAATATGTTTGGAGGCACTACCTTTCCCTCTTTTTTTACTCAAAGGAGAGGGAAACACAGTTTTGTCAACAACGGGGGAACCCGGGACCTTAAAAGGAACGAACCCCTCCGTGACTGCGACCTCTCCCTTAACCTTGGGGTTAGCGCGAGCAACGCGCTGTTTTCAGCACTTGAGCCAAAGCAGTGATTGAATCATGCTCTGACATTGACTTGAATGTACAACATGCAACTGACTACATGAGAACCTACCTCATGTACCTCTGGGCCATAAATGTCATCGTGATAATTGACTCCCCCCTCATTGACGGCACTGAGGGAGTGTCTTGGGCGCATTACCACGCCAACTTGAAGTCAAGTTTACACCACAAAGACTGACGCAAGTTATTCAAGCATCGCCCAGGCACTTTGCACACTTTTGGGATTTTTTGCAGACATGCTGCAGCGCACTAGGCAGCTGCTTTAGCGGATCTACTTTCACGAACGTCTTCAAGCTTCTCTGGAAGGTCAACACGAATGCCGAGCAACCGGATGGCATGGTCCCACTTGTTGGGTGGAAGTGCTTTCGTGAAGATGTCTGCTGACTGCATGTCGGTTTGGACGTATTCTATCGAGATGTGTTCGCTTTCAAGCTGCTCTGCGATGCACGCGAGGTTCACCTTGTGCGTTCGCTGGACACAGCGTAGCTTGGATGAGAAACCTTTTCTCGCTACGAGGATAGTCGCCTGATTGTCCTCGTGGATCTTGAGATGGAATGGTCGGTCCAAGATCAGCTCCCACAAGCTGAGCGCAGGAAGCGCCTCCTGGTAAAGGGAGTATGCGAGAGATACGATCTCCGCCTCAGTTGTCGATCGGGAGACCGAGGTCTGCCATTTGGACACCCACGCAAGTGGAAAATGCGTGTGCGGACCACTCAAAATCAAGAATCCTCCGGACGTGGATTTTGCGTCTCGTTCTCCAGCGAAATCGGCGTCCACATAGAGAGACAGATGCAAATCCTCAGTCGAATCTTGAACTGTGCTTACTAGCGTGCTGTTGACCGTGCTGTTTATGTAGCATACAAGCCTATGTAGCTGCTTATCGCAGTTTCTAGACCATTTCTGAACAAATGAGGCAAGGTCGCCAATGGGCTTGACCAGGTCTGGGCGTGCCAAACGGCCGAGCCATAAGGCTTTCATCAACACGCGGCAAGCGGCGAAGCCGAGCTCACCCTCCAAGGCGTCATCTGCAGGATCAAGGGATCCAGCGGGACAGAATGGAGTGGTGGCATCACGCAACTTTTCACTTTTTAGCTGTGCAACCTCAAGATATAATGCCACCGTTTGACGGGCATAATCCCGCATGTCGAACGCCATGCCCCCTTTCAATCTGCCCATTGCGGCATTAAGATCGGGTTCAGTTGGGTCCTTTGGAGCATCTATCAAAAGGTGATTCCTGCCTAGCACCCGATATATGTCTTCTGGGGGTTCTATATCAACCAGTCTTGTTAACTTTTCCCAGAAGTCTTTATGAAGGTGGCTGGGGCCGGCCAACGTCAAGTCGTCGACGTATGTCGAGAGAAGTAACCCGGACTCCTTGAACCAGAAGTTTCCAGGAAACTCTGCGACCTCACGCCCTCCAAGTTCACTAATGAACCCTTTGAGGTGTGCCTCCCAGAGTCCGCCAGCGTCAGGATGCCCATAAAGAGCTTTAACGAGCAAAACCACAGGTTTCACGAAACGCTCGCGCCACCACCTTGGCCGGAGCTCAGGCGGGAGTGTGATCCAAGTTTGGTACTTGGACTTCAGCAGTGCTTGCACATAAGCCTTTATAGCGTCCGCTGTTGTGGTGGAATTCCCTGGCAGGGATCCATAAGCGAGACAGTTATTAAGACCTTGTACGCTCGTGGGATTTGCTCCCAACTCTTGGTAGACAGCTGCTGCGCCATGTTCGTCTTTCGCACAGTCTCCGCGATACACAATCCTACCTTTCATCTTCTGAAGGTGTTTCGCGAGTTCGGCGAACTTGACGGATGCTAGCGACATCAACTGCCCGAAATGAACTTTTATACTGGATCGTCGCGCCTCAGCGGCGACTTGATCATATTCTCGGACTGAATTTAGATCCCAAGCACCGGCTTTCTCCAGGCCTGTGGCTTCAAGTCGAACGGCTTCAAGGGCTTCCGGGGAAGCCAACATTTCGGCACGTGACAAGAGTCTGGTCACCATTGCGGTGATCTCAGGATCCTTCTTCTCCTTGACTTGTCCTAGGGAATGTGCGATGAGATTTTCAACATCAAGAACTTGTTCAAGGATGTCGTGACACTTTTCATCGGACTCAACAGCAAGACCTATATCTTCCAAACCAGAGAGAGGGGATATGTGTTTCAACTGTTGTTCACGTTCCCGGTGATCGAGAGGCAATGGCACTTGGACAGGCATTGCAGGCACGACGGGTTGAACTGTCGGATACAGTGCACGGGCAACTGTGAGACACATGCCTTCGGGGTAGAAAGCGGTCAGCGAATGTTTATACCCTTTTTCGTGCGGACACTTAAATGCACTTAGTGCGGATGCGAGTGTGCTATTGCTGGTCATGACTTTCCATGGCTTCTTGATGGGATAGCCATTGCTGTCCTTCAGACCTAGGGCGCAACCATGGAAGGTCGCTGGGGTGAAGACGTGTGCGTATTCCCTAAAGAATGCAGAAACATCATCCCTAGCCCAGCTGTCGCAATCCCTTGGCCATTCAAACGAAACACTACCCCCCTGATGGAGGACAGTCTCAGCGTGACGTCTGAATCTGGAGAACAACTCTCTCGACTCTTTAACCTTTTGCTTCAGTTTCTTTTTGAACTGGCTTCCTAACTTGGCCTTATTAAGGCGTTGCCATGCTGAGCCTGATGTACAGGGAATCGCAGCCCAAAGATTGGGTTTATCACAACCTTCTATCTGCGACTGCAACTGGATTTCTCCTTCATCTGTGCTAAGGTCGATAAACTCTTTAGCCAGCCTAACATGAGGTATGCCAAGACCTTCAAACACGCGACCCATATTGGACTCTGGTGAACATGCGTATTCGAACATCACAGGCAACTTGTCAATGCGTGCCTGTCGCTTGCGTGCACGATGATTTCCAACCTCAAACTGCTTGCGCTGTGGAGCTTCAACCTCTGCGCTGCACGGCATGCCAAAAATTGGCAATGTGTTCGGACGACCGTTCTTTGACGCTTCGGTGAGAGGTGTCGGCGGTACGGAGTCTAACATCACGGCTGCACCTGTGGTGATAACACAATCGGACTGAATGGGTTTTAACTTGAACACTGTGAACCCGGTCCATGCATCTCCAAGTGAGCGATTGGGTCGGCTACCAAACCAACCATCGTGGATGTTGTCTGCTTTGCCCCCCTGAAACACGGCACGAGTGGTGCGAGCTGCAGTAAATCTTTCTGGGGAAACGGGGCAATCCTCGACCTCTTTTGGAGTAAAAAGATTCTGCCTTGGCATGATATGGTATCGAACCAAACAGTTGGCATTTTCTTTGAACACCCAAAAATCTTCACCTTGCGATGTAGCGGCTGTCGCTGGCGCGGTATCGAAAAATGAGGCACCGGGTCTTGAGGGAGCGGGCTCCCCAGCTTCGGCTGCATCAAATTCATGCGCAACGTCTTCTGCACTAACTGCTATCTTAGGATCCTCTCCATGCTCGGATGCATGGATTGCTCTAGCTAGCTCCTCATCCCCTTCTGTATGAACACTGGGAATGGGTTCCTTAGATTCAGTTTTGGCAGCGCTTTTTGCAGCCGCTTCAGCTCGATCTGCAGAAACAAGTTCGGAGAACCTCTTCTTGCATTCGGCACTGTGAATCTTGGAATGACCGGTGCATGCACGGCAACCTGGCGTTTCCTTGAACTTGATGATCCTCTCAACAGTTATGTACACGGATTTTGACTTGACAGCGGATGGAGTCGGTGGGGCACCAAAGGGCGCCTCTCGCAGGGGCAAAGGTGGGGGATCAGACCCTTCTGTCTTGCCACCATGCTGCTGCAATCGGAAAGCTTGGGGGTCCGTCCTCAACGAACAATTCCGGTTCAGGAACATCGTGAACGGAAATGGAACCATCTTTGCGGAAGGCTTCATAGTCCATGACTTTGACCACGTTACGGTACCGCAACCCCGGATCGATCCTCCAACCCAAAAAGAGCGCTGGCGCCATGTTCGGATCGAGAGTGCGTTTGCCAGGAGTCTTGGTTCTGTACCAAACCAGTTGCCCGAAACAGCATCTCTTACCTTGGAACTTTTCCTTGGTGAGGGCTTCCCATTGGGTTTTCCCTGGGCTGAATGGAGCAGGCCTGTCAAACGACATGGAGAGACATGCAAATGGGTAACTAAACGTATGCAACGAATAGGGCAACCCTGATTGCAAGTGGATGCTGCGGCAGCATTCCTTCTCTTCGCGAATGTCGCGCTCCAGAACGGTGTTGTGTGGCCACCTGTTCGGTAAGCTTGTCTCGGGGACGAGACCGACTTCGTGGGCCGCTCCTTCGAGCTCTCCTGCTGCATCCATTTTTACTAGACACGTTGGCGGCGAATCAGTGGCCCGAAGGCCCATGAACTGACGGAAGTTTTTGACATGCGCTTGCGTGTCCCGCCTACTCACAGGGTAGGCAAGGCGAACGCCTGAGAAAACATCACGTACTACATGGTGAGATTTGATTCCACCGAAACCTACTCCGAGATGTTCATCGCCCATGGCAAGAATCACAGAATCGGTAGCCAACTGTTGAAATGGTGCAGTTGGGACATCGACTTTGTCGTCTGATCTAGCATCCTTTTTGTGCGCTACCCTTGCAGAAGTGGTCTTCGAGATTG